GAGACAGGAAACATGATATATTTTCGTATAATTTCCTGTTTTCTGATCACGTTAATAAAACGTTGTCATCCATATGACGGTTCTCATCTTCAATGCAATTGCAAAATGATACTTTAAAATAAGTATAAATATATATACTACTAATACTAAAAAAATGCATTATATTTGTAAAAAGGCGGTTTGTGTTTTTAAGGTTATTTTGATCTGGTTGTTTGTATAAAAATATAGACAAAATGATTCAGAATAAGCTATGTTCTGATTTATAAGCTTACATTAATCAAGGAATGTATTATGATTTTCAGAAAATGTTTACATTTTAATGAAATTTGAAAAAATAATGTTAAAATACATATTTGTATAATTATAATTGTGTAACTGTAAAATGTGTCAGTTTTTGCTTAAAAATGGAATATCTGAAATTAAAACATGTAGGATTTTGATATTTGCGTAAAAAATATTTGATTGTTTGTTATTACGATTTTTATAGCTTCTAATATACACGTATAAGCATCTTAATTATTAATATCTCGAAAACAAGATGATAAAATTGTCTTAACCATTTTTAAAATATAAATACACAGTCCACTTTTAATATAAATACGTGTAAAAAAGAGGAACAAAAACCAATCTGAAAACAAAACAACTATATAAAACAACTGCAGCAAAACAAGACTTTATCATGCTAGTTCTAATACTTAAAGCTGTTTTTACTTTTTGATACATTATCCCGTGGCATCCGTTAGCCTAAATTTACTAGCACAAATGTTGTAACTGAGTTAGGTTTATTTCCAGTACATTGAACTGTTTTGAATATTCTGTCTTAAATTTCCGTCTTAAGTCAAGCTACGTGATAGATAACTGAATAATTATCTGTGTATCGAACTTTCTATGAACTTAATATTTGCGCTCGAATGAAATGTTCATCGCTTAAGATTGAGCTGTGTTAAATGTTCTGAAAGCGTGTACAGTTCGTTTGTACTTGTAGTATATAAGCTTTATGATTTCTTCAATATTTTTCTTTAATATTTTATAATTTGTGTATTCGTTCTGGCATTTGTCTCAAGCTTTATACAGTTTATATTTTTTTAAAAAAATCTCTTGATATCATTTAAGAAGATTCAACATATATTTTGAATTTTTTTTACTAAGAGCTAGCTTTCGGAACGTCTCTGGTTCTTCATAGTGCCCGTTTGTGCAATGGACATGTGCAGTTTTCCTCTTAAAGGCAAAGCTGGAAAGTCGCCATATGATCTCTACTGTATTGGTGTGACGTAAAACCAAACCAAAACAACAACTACAGACACACATGCCAACACACACGCATACACACATGTCATGCATCCAATTTTAATAACTAAACAGTGACATATACAGGATATCAACTGGATGATAACTTTGAAACGGTGATGTCAATTTAATTTTAATCGTAACACTCGTGAAAATTCATTAAAAAGTAAAAACTCTTAAAGTTATTAATAAGGTCACAGCCCGACTGGTATTAATTGCTACATGATGCAATACATCTAATTCCAGAAAATACTTATGAGTATTTTTTTTTCTTATACCGCGTAGCTTAGACTGGGAAATGTGCATTTATTTTGATGAAAATGTAAGGACTTTATCAAGCATATGGAAACGTATCTTTTATCAAACTAAAATTATAATATGTGCATTGTAAGTTACATTTAATTCCAGTAGATATTCAAAACAAATGTTCATGCCTCTCGTGATAGCAAATATTGGATGGAACTAAACTATATCTTATCTCGTATATCATTGTTTTATTACTAATGATTAAGGTATATTAAACTACGTTCTTTCAAATCGCATCAAGTTCTTTGACGTAAAAATATTATTTTAGCCAATCATAAGTGAGAAAATGAGACTTCCTGGAGAATCTATGATTTTCATTGACCTTTAATGTTTATCAATATGACCTTTCATGTTTCTCAATATGACTTAATATTATTAACCAATCAATTACGCATCGGATTACAGCAGTGGTACAAATAAAAATATATCATACTTCATGTCCGAGAATTTACATTTCAATTCTGTAGAAAATGTAATTGCAATTTTTCTTTACATTGACTAGACACATATTCTACCATTTACTTTTTTAATGATGGACTTAAAATCCTTATTATTTTTATTATAATTAATAATTTATTTCAGTACTGCGACATTTCTGAAGGTTTGGCAAATAACAGAGACTTGTCATGGCTAACAAAATAAGCAAACAAAAACACAAATAGTAGTAGGCGAACGTCGATGTATTTGATTAAGCTTTAGAAGACAAGTATCTATTTATATTGATAGTTGAATGGTAAGAGGAATAAAGATAATACTCTGCTGTCTGGGACAAGGAGAATGCAGATATTTTTATAAAAAGTTTCCAGAACATAATAGTTTTCTTCAGTTTGTCATTACCTGTATATTGAGGAACATGAACTTTCTAGAATATGTATGATTTTTTTTTGCATTAAACATATTGTGTATTTGTTTCTGCTACAAAATTAATCTTTAGACATAGCACGTTTTGTCTATAGTTAACAGTAACATTAAACGTAAAGTTGTATCAATCTGCATTAAGATGTATTGTAAGAAAATATACTAAGGTAAATATGTCCTTACGTCGTCACTCGTTAGCAGGCTACAAATTTCAAATTGGTATAATATTATATTTGACTCGGAATTTACAATATGTGCCCTACTCAAAATTCAAAATATTTTAGATTTGACAAATATGACATTTTAGATGAAACTCGATACTGTCTTTGTAATTTTGTAGTTCATTATCTTTAGCACAACATGATTTATTTTCAGATAAAAAGAACCTTAGATATCTTGTTCTAAAACCACTGTAAATTTTCTTATTGTAAAATTAATTTATACCCAAGTGGAATTCGGAAAGAATATCGGTTTTTAAAATTAAAAAGACTTTAAAATTTTTAAAAATCATTTTTTTAAAAGGTTTTTGTGTTCCCTACTGGGCTGTTTATTTCGTGTTTTTATATTTTGGATTTTTATAAATGTTTTAAATTGGGGAAAACCTTTCTCCCCTGTTTCGGGTTTTGGGGGTTTTTTTTTCTGTTTTAACCTAAAAATGTTTTTTTTTATCCTTGAAAAAAATTTTGGTATTGTTTGCCCTTTGTGTCGTGTTTTGTGTTAATTCATTTCGTATGTTGTTTTTAAATATCATAATTTTTTTTTCCCTGGGGCTGAAGGGTAAAAGATTTAAAATAACGCACTTACTCTCCTTTTGTTTAGAATATTCTAGAATAAAATCAAAAACTACGATCGAGTTAAAGTTTTATTCTTTTTTTTTTTTTTTTTTATTATATCGTTGTCACACGTTATCATTTTGTTTTCCGGCGTTTTTATTATTGTGTTTTATTATTGTGTTAAATAATGCTTTCTGCTTCACCTAATTTTTACAAGTAATTATCGAAGACAGTAAAATATAAGACAATTTTTTCGCATGGCACCCCTCTGATTTCGGTATTAACAATATATCAATATTTTTATTAATTAACCATTTGGTATACAAAATTATATTGTTTGCCAATTTAAATTACACATTTTATATAAAAATCTTATCCTATATTATACCTGCCAGTGTGAGAACCTCAAAATTGTGCTTTATTGATGTTATTCATTTTATTCATCTTCTTCCAGTGAATTATTACAATGTTGTTACAAATTTTTTGTCTTGATAATTCCTCCCCAATTCATTGCATGCAGTTTCCCCCAGTGGATTTCGGGAGATGTGTCTGGATCGCTATATCAAAACAACATATTTTATACCCATTGTTAATAATGGATACTATGAATTATTAAAAGGAATAGAAACACCACACATTGTCAAGGGGGAATGTGTCGTGCAGTATGGCATATGGAAAAGTACTTTTAATGTTCTGGTATTAGCAATTAATGTCAATGCTTAGGACGTAAACACACAAAAACGCAGTAAAATAATTATTTCAAATATTTTAAGCCAATGTATGTAAGTTACTTTTTGATTTCATAACTAAACCATATAAATTACCATTTACCCAAATTTTAGTACGATTTCAACCGTGTTACGACTGTGATTAAATGCATTATTAAGCAATCAGTTTCGTTGAGTTATTGGTTTGATATATATGAAGAACTAAAGATTAAATACTGCTTAAGTCGGTGCCAGGGAGCATGGGAGGTGTTGCACTTTCATGATCTCTCATAAACATACTCAACCAGAACTAGTCCGCAGTTTTCATATTACTTATTAGCTCTCAAAGGTCTTCCTTTTTCCAGATGACTTGGTTTTATGTCCTTACGTTAATCGGAAGGATTGCACAATTCAGAATATTAAAACATTAACAAAACTTTCACTTTTATTGATGTATTCAAACTCTAAAATAAGCACCCTGTTTCAGAATATTAAGACTTATCAAACTTCCAGCAAAAACTTCAATATGTTGAATAATTTTGATTATCTATTATTGAAATACTTTTATAGATCTGTAACTTACGACATAACGCTTTTATAGCAACAATTAATAATTTCACAATTGTCGTTTACAAATAATTGAATACTCCTTATGCCGGTGGTGAGGGGCATTTTCAATAATAGCTTGTACGTACCACTACCGCCTATAAACAGGCTCAATAAAACTGAGCCTGCAACAGTTTTAATATCCTGCTTTTTGGGCATTCTTTATAAAGGAGTTCTTGTTTTGTTTTCTATGTGAATATCATGATCATTTAAGAATGAGAATTCTTAAAACCATAATATTTCTTAAACAACAACGAAATCTTAAAAAATAAAACAACATATAGAAAGATAAACTTATCCATGTTTAAGTTTTATCGTTAAATTGCTATTTTTAAACCCTTTCTCTATCTTTATGGTATTCTTGTAAACTTGTAAATGAATTATTATAAAAAGAGCACAAATGCATTTTTTAAAACAAATGATTATAGATTCATATAAGATTTACTTTATACTTTAAATGACATGTAAATCGGTTTCCTGTACAATTGTATAACATGTTCTTTCTGTCATTCAGACGAGTTCATCACGAGTGAAAAAGGACTTATCATTCAAGTAACTGTTTTTCCAAGTAAATATAAGGTATGGAGTAAGAATAATATCATTTCGCTGTCAACCTGCAACGTTGTAAACCTGCAAAACACTGATTTATGCATTTTTTATAGTCTTATTAACATTTTTAAGTCTTTTAATCTTTTTAAAAAGTCTGCAAACTTTATATACTTTCAATTGTCGGTATTCAACATTATCAAACATGATATAACTGCCCCGCTGTTTGACTCCATTTGCCATATTTCCTAAACCAATCGGTTGTTATCGGTTTTTCTTTTTGTGATAGGTTTCATATCGTTTAATAATCTCCGTTTAATTCATCAAACGTTTGAAAGTTAACATTGAAGTATACGAGTGAATCTATACCAAAAGTTGTTTAGTTTATGTATTTTCCAAATCATCCTTATCGTAAGCCTGGTTTTCAAATGAAACATTGAATGTGTTCTTATCCTTCTTAATTTCTTCAATGTGTGAGTTTTCTAATTTAGTCCTTGAACAACAAGGGCTGTCTAAAGGCATCCAGGAATCTTCACATACTGCAAGCTCGTATGAATGCCTTCGCATGATTTTCCTTATGACAAAACGGTCGTTAGAAAGACGTTTGGAAACCATGTCTGACTCGAATGTCTTCTCGTATGATAAATCTTTCTTTGGTCCTGTTTTCTGACAAGTCGACACATTCACATTCTTGTCTGTTTGCAATTTCTCTGATGAACAATTATTTTCATCAATAATTTGTATATCAGCGTCACTATGATTGAAAGTTAAGTTATCTACTCCTTCACTAATAGAGTACACTGACAAATCAACTTTTTCAAATGAGTCTTTTACACCAGCAGATGCATCTTTTAATCGTTTATTACTAGATTGAAGCGACTGGCATTTATTAGATTCTACCTTTGATTGTTGGACTTGTTCGGTGGGTGATTCCGTTTTCTTACATTCATTTTCCGTTTTGTATTTTCCATTTTTCCGACGAGATGTTTGTTTCTTTCGTTTCTTCAACCGTGTTCTGTCCCTGAAATATAGTAAATGACTTTTTAACTTGAGAAATTCAAGAAGTAAATATAAACGGTTACCATATTTTGTGAACATAATTATACTCACATAAATGTCTTAAGTCTAGTGTGTAAATGAAAATATCCGTTTAAGATCACAAGAAATGTAATTGAAAGAAACAGGATGATCAAAATGAAAATAAACATACAATTAGCTTTATTTTATAATATTTATTTTAAATCCTAATGGCTCAATGTATATAACTTATTACATTTTATTACCAAATCGCTTTATAATTAAGATAATATTTTTCTTTATCCATTGTATTTGTTATATAATATGATATTTTAATTACCTAATGGCTTTAATTGCAGAAATTCCACATGTGATAACAAATGCTGATCCAAATATCGCAAGAATAACAATACCAGCTAATCCGTCGAGAGCTGGCATCTTTGCCTTTCTTTTAGTTATCTAATTTATCATCCGATATTTATTATTCCAAATAAGCAATTTCTCTAAATAACGTATGCATTGAATGTCTAACGTATAGCTGATTTCTTTTTGTTTTCTAATAAGTTTCCGTAAAGTTAAGACTCTATTTTATTACACAAAGAGTAAATTAAATAATATTTACGATACAATGTTTTGGGATTTCAATGTAATATTTCAACTATATTCCGTGTATATCAAGCTGATGCCAATAACTTGTTGATTGATGCACAATATTTATATAGATTATATTCACAAGTTCAACAAAAGACACACAAATTAAAACTTGCAGACGAAATTGATATTGCTGATTAATAAACTATCTATGTAAGTTTCTTGAATGCTACAATTAATTAAGCTTATCCGCCGAAGTGACTTGGCTGTTGTTGATATTTCATTAGGTTATCAGTCATATTAAACCAACAGTATGCGACAGATACTGATCACATATGATGGTACAACATTTCTAATTAAGATACACATGCCGCTGTACGATTACCCCACCACTAGCGACACATATTCGTGTTAAACAAAGAATTATTGCTGAATAATCAGCCGGTGGCATCACAGGATAGGAGCATTAATGAAATGTAATTAATTATCGAAAACTACTGGGAAGCTGTAAATTCAGTTTTTTTTTAAATAAATAAACAGAGCCTTAGTAATCTAATTAAACACAATATTTTGAGCATGTTTTACAAGACTTGTGCTTAAAGTGATATTGATGCAATTTTACCATTTATAATTTGGAGTAGTAATTGCCTTACGTAACTTTTATCCCAGTTAAATAGCTAAGCGCTACTTTATACTGACTAGTTCGCCGAAGGTGACTACTTGTAATTATAACTATTTCTAATAGACACATAGTTATTCTAAAGTTTCATCTTTTAAACATGTTGCATCCTATAAATATTGGCAAAAGTAAACTATCGCATTATTTTCACAGATTTAATGGAAGAGTATGTAATGACAAAAACGAAGTCCGATAAAATTTACCACTATATAACTTGAGAAATATATATTATAGACAAAATAAGGAACGCATATGATAGTTTTCATAACATCTAACAAACAGCTAGCATTTGGTTGAACTGTGATTGAACAACTTACCATGTGACATTCATCGAGTATAATCGTTATTGCATCCTAAAATATCTTGTGCATTTGTCATGATTTCAATCTCCATTTCTGTGTAAATTTCCCTGCTCGAACCAAATGTCTTTAGCTTCGGCCACCAGTATAGTGTAACACCTGTCCGTGTATGTGTACAGTCTGATCTGACATTATTGCTCCGCGCCCACAGGCGCGGAGCTATTTGTGTTTACTTTTTTTTGTCCATGTGCCCGGATTTTATCAATTAATCCCTTCGATTTACAACTAAGAAAAAATTCGGATTCAAGAACTCCTTACTATTTCTATAATATTTGTTTCCCCTTCGGTGATTCGCAGCATGTCATATTATTGAATGAAAACCGGAAAGCAGTTCTGCTGTATATGAATTCGAAAGCTATAGATAGCTATGCAGTATATCAGGTTGTTTTCCTTTCTTTGTATATAAATAAATGTTCTTATTTTTGACACTTGGGTTATAAATTTGTTATTTCCCTTATATAGTAGTACATGAAATTATAATTTGTTACATTTTGAATTACATTTACACACAGCATATCAAGTATACTATTAGTGTTTGAATTTGTCAATATAAAGAAGATTTCAGGCATAAGACTTTAATAATTTTGCTTTTGATAATTATTCTTAATTTATATTTATGACACTAAATGTTTAATAATAACATGTTGATATATTGGTTGTTTTGAAATAATTATTACTTTAGTATATAAGGTTACATTTCATTGGCATCATTGCTATTGCAATGGAGGTAAATTACAAACACTTTGTTCATCAAAATTAATTCTTTAAGGGCATGACCGGTGACATGTCCGGGGTCCGTACTTACAGCGAAAGCTGTATTTTGTGCCCTTACGGTCGGATAGACCCTCATTAAGCATAGACTATAGATAGCGGTCATCATTGGTAACAACAGAAACTTTGATCTGCAGTTTGAACATGAGATGTAATGTTGTTTTTTATGAATGGTTTTAAAGCAATTCAACAAAAAAGTATATCGATCTTCCAATAAATCAATTAACAATAGTTTTTTTTTTATATATCACCAATGTCAAGTAGCTTTTATATCTTTGACTTGCACGAACATGAAGTGAATTTCCTTATATCTGCCTAAAATTCCGGTAACAGTCTTCTATTATATTGATAAATACTTTATCACAATGTAACGCGTGTATAATAAACAGAAATTCCTGAATTTGATCTTTTTGAAAATCATCCAAATTTTTCATTCCAGAGTGTGTTCTACTTTCAGTATTGAAAGAAACCATTTTTTTTATTACACATGAAAACAATGCATGTTATATTATTATATTATAATATTAGTCCCTTTTGTTACTATTTGTATATTTGTTACAATTATCATAATAAAAAAACAGACTTTGATATTTTTTTTCATCTTATGTTACTGACTACAGTAGTGACACAACCAAAACACATTACATTCATGTCACATAACATTAACAAGTCTTGTAAGCCTTGTTTGTTTTCAATGGAATTACTTTCCTTACCAGGAAGACATCACTGAAAGCATTTTTTTTAAAATTAAATATCTGGCCCCTCTTTTTAATTATGGACAGTGCATAAGATGAGTATAATTATGTAAAAAAATGGTTTACAACACATTCGGGAAAAATCTGCAATAGTACTTAATCTGAATATAACATGACCTGTGCGAAGGACTAATTTGGTAAGGTATCTGTGATGAGAGCATTTTTTTGCGCGGAGCTTTTCAATTGCTGCATTTGTACTTGTACTGTGTAGATGATCAACATTACATTTTTATTTTGATATCCCCAAATTGATAATGAATAGTTCAAACAAAAATGAAGGTGGACAAGCCAGTTAAAAGCATCCGCATCTTTAAGCTTAATATATCACTCTCGCTTAATTTAATGAAAATACATCTCAGAAAGCTAGAAATTCAATACCAATTGATTAAAAAGTAGCACTTTTAATACATTGCTATCATTTTTGATATGTTGCTATTTCCAGACATGAAAACTTTTCCCAGACTTACAAATCTATGTATATGTGAAGTCATAGCAATAATGGTGATGAAATAAAATACCAGTGTCAAATTAATCACACTAGGTCCAGACAAAAACGGTCGTACACTTTGTCTGTCAGAAACCTTGTTGACACTAACGAAGGCTTGTAAACGCTTGCCAGAGAAATAATAAAAGTTTATCTTTTGAATTAGTTTCCACATATTCACTTAAACAAGTTCTAGTAACTTATATAAATAATTTTTTGTAAAAATTTAGGACTGATATCACATGATGCTTTTCCCTACACTTTCTTTGTTTAGAGGAAGACACCTCAAACATAAAATCATACATGGCTGTTAAGGTTTTAAATTTCAATAATCTAAATGTTTGAATAACATTCCGTGAAACTATTACATTTCTTTGTTCAAAAGAAAGTCCTGATCTTTGAACATTCACATTACAATGTATTCTTTTTAAATATTTGTAAAGCTAAGTTTAAAACACATATTTTTGAAATATATTTTTCAAACACCAATTTGACCATTCAAACATTCAATATTTGTAAAGCTTAGATTAAAACGCATTTTTTATGAAATATAGTTTTCAAACACCATTCAAATCTTTCAAACATTCATTGTAATTTTTTTAAATATACTGTTACCTTCTTTGAAAAAAAAAAACCCAAGAAACAATGAATCAGTTCGATTCAATCACAATCCGTTACCTTTGAAAAATTTCAAGATTTATAACTTGAAGATCAACGGAGGAGATCCTCCATTACACAATGGTATCGAATACAATCACGCCTGATTTGAAGAATTAAACTCCTAGCTAAGATGAAAGAGAAGGTAATATACGCTGAAATAAACTGTGTCGGAAAAGCAATAAAAAGGAGCCAGACTTCCAAAATTTGTTAATAAATTGTCTGGTTTTAAGCCAGTGTGATGTTTCGATTGAGTTATTCAGAATTGGGTATCAATTTGTTCGCATCAAGAGTTTATTGATGTTATTTACAATGTATTAATTAAAATTTTACCAGATAGTTAAGCTTCTGATAGATAGATGGTACACATTTTTTAGAGAAAGTATTGATTTATAAAAATATTTTACTTTTGATCTAAAATTTAAGAAACGAAACGGCGAGAAAAATCTTAAAGAAGGGTGATCCGTCGGAAGCATTAATCATAATAGAATTACACGAAAATTGCAGACTCGGTTTAATTGTTCGAATATATCATTTGATTTCAATTTATATGTAGATAAATAAAGGTTATTTAAATGACATATATTAATAGTAATAAGAAAGGGATTTTGTCCTACTAAAACTATACAGTTATTATTGCATTATCAAATTAAGAAGAAATCAAAATTGATATCTTTCTTTTCCCTTAAATTAAGAAACACACTATTCAACTACAGAATTTCTAACTGACATTAAAATATATCTTTATTTTTTTAAATCTTTTTTAGGTATAATTATGTTTCGTTTCATTATTGCTTGCAGATGCACTTCTAATCACCATTGAATTCTAATATGTGACACGTCAGCCTTACTTAGGCTTAGCCAACACAATACAAATTGGCTCTTTTATCATTTATGAAGTTTGTTTAACTTGACAATTCAGTTCTGTTTCTTGTGTTTGTTTGTTGCTGGGTTCTGTGTCGGTAGTACATTCTTGTCTATGTTCGTTGGGGGCTAGGTTCATCGAATGTCGCCTTTCTTCATTTTTCTTTGTCTGAGATGTCATTTTTGTGAAATCTAAGCATATTTCATCTATCTTTATAAAATTCACAGTTGTGCTCAATCTAAAATAAAGTTTCCTTTTAAAAGACAAGGCTTGCACAGTTGTGCCTTCATCCCAACCCTTTAAAATTGTTTTTTTTTATTTCAATTTATTATCACATTTTTTTGAATATCATAAAGGGTTTATATTTAGTAGTTTTTTTTTGGAAAACCGAATATTTTTTGTCAAAACGATTTGAAATCTATTCTCTATTGTATAAAA